TCCCATCCAGGGGGGAGTAGAAATACTCCTAGTCGCTTCATGCTGCAGAAACCGGGATAAGCTCCGGCCTGATGGGCCACTTGGCTCGTATGCACACTTTACCTTTACCTACTGCTACTCATCCCTCTTGATAAAAAAAACCAACAACAACAACAACAACAACAACAACAACAAAACAAACAAACAAACAAACAAACAAAAAAAAAACGAGCAAACAAACAAAACAGTAAATGACGTCATGGCTGACAACCTCTAAGAGCACTGTGTCAAAAGCTTCCCAGACGCATACATTTCAAAAAGGTTGTTTTGACAACAAAATGAACCGCAGAAAGGCCGTATATTACTAGAATAAAGTGTGGAGCCTTTCCAAATACACTTTAGTGTCAGGAAGTTTACAGGAAAAAGGGCCAAAAGAAACTACAATGTAGCATGTTAATTATTTTATTATATTATAAGAAATTAACGCTTCATGTAATTAACGTTAATGATTTGCGTTAATTTTAGCGGGGATTATTTTTGGTCACGGTAATTTCAGCGTCATTGATTAAGTGGGGCGTTAATTTCCGCGACCTTCATTTCCATTTTTCACGTCCCAAATTTTTGATACCACGTTATACCATTTTATGAATGGCTTGGTCATAAATCTTCGCTTAACCGCTACGTACGTTTAGGGGCAATACCGAGATCATTACTAGAATTTCGGATTTTTATTACAATAGAGTTAAAAATAAATGTAAAATGAATATTAATTAAATGTATTATAAAATTTTTTCCTCTTCTCTTTGAAAAAAGTATGCTTCCTTGTGAAATAATTTGCGTTAATTTCCCTGATTTTGAGATTTTACACTTCTTTCGCGTTAATTTCCGTCGTATTGCAGTTATTTTTCTTTCGATTCATGTTAATCAGTTTACCTTTATTAACGCGAGTGTTGATTTCCTATAACAAAGTGTATCTCTTTAATTATGTTGCTCTTTTCTTTTGACAAGTTTCCCCGCTAGAAAACTTTCGTACCTTGACAATTTTTACCACTGTAGTCGCCAGTGCAGTGGCAGTGATATAATGAAACATCTTGGTCATCATTATTGCAGGTGGCTCCGTTAACACAAGGCTTACTGTCGCAAGGGTAGATTTGAACTGCAAACACAAAGAAGTGCAGATTATGAGGTTTAAAATGTCAGGATTTAGCGGATTTGTTTCATCAGAGTCAATGTATTCCCTTCTAAACATCTAAATTAGCCTTTGTTCACCTCTCTTGAGCAGTTCGGGTTCGAGCCCTGGCCGTGAACATTGTGCTGTGTTTCTGGGCAAGACACTCACAGCACGTATTTCGACCCAGGGCTGGGTTGAGAATTTTGATTTCAGTTTTGCATTTTTTTCCCGTTAGGTCTTCTTCTAATATTGTTGTCTTTCAGTTTTTAGCTTGAATAATCTCAAAGTGCACAAAACATAAGAATTGAAAAACATTTTTATACAAGAAAAAAATGATATTTCGGCTAACTTTTAATCTTGGGTTAACGTTTACTGGCTTTCGATCAACCTAGCATAGGTGTATAAATGAGTGCCGCCAAATTTAATGCTGAGGGTAACCCTGCGATTATAGCACCCCATACAGGGGCAGTAGAAGTACTCCTTGTCGCTTCATGCTACATATAACGTCTATAACGGCGGTACAGACAGGTGTTTAGTTACTGGTCACATTAATTGATTTTTAGAGGGTTGTTTAGGTCGCGGTTTTTTCAATTTTTTGCAGTTTTTCAAATGAGCTACCTTCGGCCTTGATGGAACCTCAGTATAAGTGAGAAAAACAAAGACGATACCTTCACAATTTTTGCTTTGAAACCAATCTCCACAGTCACAAGTGTAGTGTGTCGGGCTGCTTGTATTACTTGAACAATGTCCACCATTCAAACAGGGGCTATCAGTATCACAGATTGTTTGAGCAACTAACAGGGAAATCAAAAGATAACGCTGTTACATATAAGAGTTTTGTTACACTGGAAAAACTTGCTTGGTCTCCTTTGTGGGATAAACCTTCACTCCAACAACTTGTGACATTCAAAATATTTGTTCAGTAATTGTTAGTATTTATATTTATAATGAGAAAATAAAGCTGTCGTTTTTAAATAGAACAGTGAATTGTAATTCCTTGGACTGAAAATAATGTCCTGGAATCATCTCCAAGGGAATCCGGGGTAACACTTGCCTCCCTGGCGTACGTTTGTTTGCAAAAATTGCCAAAGTGGGGTCCTGTATTTTTATGAAATTGTAACGGATTCTTACGTAAATTGACAAATTTACTAAATAATAAACTAAATTCGGCATGATTAATTGATCTATCAAGGTAATTTGATGTTTATATAACACTACGAAGAATTGTTGATATTGCCCCGACATTGGTAAAAGGTCCATTAACCGCCGTACGTAGCGAGTTTGTGAAGCTGACGTTTCCAGCCTTTACTAATCAAAGTGTCAGCTTCACGATCTCGCTACATATATATATATACATATATACATACACACGGTGGTTAGACGCAGACCAATAGTTTCTTTAGTAACTAACACCTTTGCTCATTATCATGAGAGGTTGTACGTTTTCTTTGATTGATTACCTTCACAGTCTACTCCAGTAAACCAGTCTCGGCACTGACACTTGTACTTGGAAATGTCGTTAGCATCATTACTGCAAGTGGCGCCATTTTGGCAGGGACTGCCGTCACATGGGTAAATTTGAACTGTAACAATAAAAGAAAAATTTATCCTGGAAGTATCAGCGAGAGTTGTTACAAATCAACCTGCTCTCACAGTTTTCTCGATGATATAATTTATTTGATTCTTACTCTCCAGGATCTTAAACCCAAGAAAGCCCAAGAATAAACCAATCACAAGTCCTGAGATGTAGCATTGAGATTGGTTGATTCTTCCGACTCCGACAATCTAGTTTTCACTGGATCATGAGCGACGCGCAATGGTACGCGGAATCAGAAAAAAGTTGATCTGATCCCATTCAATTCCGTCACTAGTGAAAACCAGCCTTAAGTAACACAGTAACTCAGTTAATATTCATGTCCATAACAGCATTAAAAACGATCGAAACTAAAGCGTTTGAAATTGAAGCAGTAAGCTGGCATTTGATCGGAATGTAGAATTAAGTACATTTCAACAACACACTTAGAGTAAAACTCAGCGTGGATGTGTTCTGCAAAAGCTGCTTTTTACTTACCACCACAATTATCTCCAGTGAACCAGTCGCCGCACTCACAGTAGTATCTATCAGGATCGTTGAAATGCACCACACATGTTCCTCCGTTCTTGCACGGCGAAGTGTCGCACACGTTTGGACCAGTGAATGCAGGCCTCAGTCGATACATGAAGTTAGTGTAGGATGCACCCACCCCTCCCGCACACTTTTCTGGAAGGGCCTTCCCATACTTGTCATAGCTGTCAACTATTTTTGTATCTGTCCAACAGTCACCAAAGTCCTGAACGGCAAAGTATTCGTAGTCCATGTCGCGCGCGAGGTGCGCACATTTGACTACTGTCGCTTTTGGATCTGACGCGTTGTACGAGCTCTCAAAACTCCCGAACTTGATCTTAAGTACTCGGTCATTTTTTCTCTCTTTAAAGCAACCCAGAGGATTCCGTTCTGGAAGCAATTCTATACGAGGAGTTAAAAAAGAGGAAAATCAATGGCGGTACGCTGACCTGTTTCTGTTCATAGCGCCAATTGTGCCACGGGTACTCGAAGTCTGATCCAGTCTATTGTCGAGTCCTTGAGCACAGTTTGGCCTTATGAACAATCTTTTTCAGCCCACAATTAAACACATTTAAAACCGTGGGTCCATATCAGCCCATAAAAATTGTACTACTTGGGTACCAATTGGGATAGTCAAATTGGTACCATTTTCCTCTCCGAAATACCTCCACACCCCCTCCCCCAGGAATATTGAATATACGCAAAACAACAAGTTGACGAGTTTAAGCTTTTAGTTATTCAGGGTGAATTGACCTAATTTTCTGTTTCAATTATCTTTTCACCGCAACTAAGAGTTCTTATATTTTGGTAATAAAATGTGTATTGTTGTTGCTGTTGTTACCTAATATCTAGTAACTGAATATCACAGTTCATGTTTCTAGAGGCGAACTTACCAAAAGTGAAGACAGCGATACGTTTGTCGATGCCGATGCCATTCGGACAGTTAATTTCTTTGGTCGAGCCTTTGATGTGGTACTGTTGCCGTGCATTCGGCCCTGACCGACATATGCCATTAAATCCTAGTGCAAAGAACTTGTAGCTTCTACCAAAGGCCAACTCAGCGCATGCGCTGATTGATTCTTTAGACCTACCCTGTTTGACTAGATTTTTAAAGTCACCGAGCACATCGGGTAGAAGATTGCTTCCAATATTGAAGCAGGCGATTCTCGTGAAAGAAGGAACTAAAGGGAAAGAGAAAAACGAGAAAAATTGTTTTTCACTACCACATTTCTGCCACTATAAAGAGATCACGTACAGCTTTGTGAGCTAGTTCTCATGATCATAATCTTTAGTTTCGGGACAAACTTACTGAAATAAACTAGAAAACCAACATATCCGTCCCAAACTTTCTCGTAAACTAACATGATAATTGTGTTAATTATACTAAGTCAACGTATTATAGAATCGATTTTCTGTGTTTTTCCGAAAGTTAGTTAACCAGTCTTGTATATTTATTTATTGCCAGCCATCATGATTATTTGACGGGGTGATATCATTCTCGACCCCAGAGCTCTTCTGTTTTGCGCATGAGGGACGGCACCCTGTCAAGAAAGACAAGGGGCTGGGGCCAAGAATGGGGAGATATGCATCTCACCGTACGATTCTTACCATTGCCCTAAACGAGATAAATAATGCAATAAACAATTGTTTTAGATAACAAAGCATGACCGCATCATGTAAACAGTTCATAGAGGAAACATACCTTGGCAGTTTTTGCCGCTGTATCCGCCTGTGCAGTGGCAGTGATATAATGAAACATCTACGTCATCATTTGTGCAAGTCCCTCCATTAACACAAGGCTTACTGTCACATGGAAAGATTCGAACTGAAATAAAAAGAAAATTTCTATCTTTGTAAGGAATTTTGTTTATACTGATTAATAATTAGCGTGTTTCTTTTTTTCATAAATTGATTTAATTGTTATCTTATGCCTTAGAAACCAGCCCAAGCATTTCAAATTACAACGGTCTTAAACTGATATGCTCACTCGAAAGGACAAAGGAAAACAGACCAATCAAAATACTAGTTGGGTAAGTTTTAAATTACCTTCACAGTCTTTTCCAGTGAACCAATCGCCACATTCACACGAGTATTGTGCGGGGTTATCGGAAGTGCTGTTACAAGTTCCGCCGTTAACGCATGGATTGTCAACATCACATATGGTTTGTGCAACTAAAGAAATGCAAGAAGTTCAATTTCTTTCGATCAGTGAATATGATGCATGTAATAAAGAAAAACATCTGAGGTTCAATTTATGTCAGTTTAGCTAGCTTTAATTAGAGAGTAGTGGACTGCGGTAGATGCCCTGACGTCTTTTGTCAAAATTCACCCCTTCTTTCCTGCTAAAATTGATATTTTTATAAACGAATATCCAACGCGAAAGCTGAACGCAGTAGTAGCTTTGTTGTAAAATAGGTGATTCTACTGAGAATCTCTGAGATAACTGAGTATCTGCTCCATCGATGTTTGCAAGTGTAAGACAGTAGCAAAGAACTTGAGGTAGCAAAGTCACCGACTGGTAACGCGTGGCTTGATGCAGATGCGGATGGTAAATGACACGAAATGCAAAGTCAAGTGTAAGAACATGGAAAGGTCTTTGCCTTCTTTGTGTTTGCACTTTATAAAATAATATTGCATCACTTTACCTGTAGTTAGCTTTTTTTTGCTAGTGTTGTAAGGGTTTTAGTGTATATGGATATACTTATCTTAGGGTAATTTAAAAGAGCATCAAAAAAAAAAAAGGATTACCTTGACATCTGTCACCTATGAACCAGTTTGGACATTGGCAGTGATACTTTGATATAATGTGAGGATCATTACTGCATGTTCCGCCATTAAGACACGGTTTGCTGTCGCATGGAAAGATTTGAACTGCATGGAATAATAACAAGCAAGCACTCTTTCACAACTGCACTTTAATTGAAAGTGTGGCCCTTGTTCATAAAGCGAAGCAATGCCGGTGACTCGGTGCGACCTAGGCCTCGCTCTCACGTCACAAAGCAACGTACAGAATCGCCTTAAGACACCACAGCCACAAGGCCAAATAAATTCCCCATCCACATCAACTCGTCACGGCGACCGTACCACGATTTTAGGCTGAGATGTTTCATGAATGTCAGTAATCTCCCTACGCACTCGCCTCTTTTGGCGACTATGGCCGTTGGAGCGTGATCGCGATCATGTTATATTCTGCTATCTCCTTGTTCAATTCGAAACACCAGCTTCGCTTTATGGAAAGAGACCCCCAACAAACGACACCGGAAACTTTTGTAAGCTCCCATTACCCGTCTAAAATGGACAAATTGCATCGAAGGTACAAAGACAACCCTATGTTGAGGTGAGTGAAGTTTATTTGTACATTTATAGCTTTATTTAGTTGGCCTTAAGTAAATTTCCCATACAAAGTTTATAAAGCGCTCATTTGATAACCTTTAGTCACAGCAGTCACATACTAAGCTTGGTCTTCCTGTGTTCGAAGTAGACATTACCGTTGGTTTAGTTTATTCCCGCATGGAAACAACGCTGCACAATATTGTATTACATTTAGTTTCTCTTTTCTTTTTGGTGTGGGTAGGAGGTTTGAATGAGAGCTGCCCACTTCGTACAAAATTCCATATACATATCATGTATACATGTCATACGTGTCAAAATGCCATATGCACAATAATAGGTAATTAGTATTTTAAGAGCATGTAGAAATGAAAAACGAATCAGTAAATAGATTAATAGAAATGAAAACGTTTACGAAAATGGTTCATTTAAGAACAATTATTTACTCTCACCTTCACAATTTTTGCCAGTGAACCAAGCACTGCAAGCGCATTTGTACTGAGATGGATCAACAGCTAAATCACTACTGCAATAACCATTGTTGACGCACGGATTACTTTCACACGCACTCGTCAAAACTTCCAGGAGAAAGAAAAAGTAATTGTAATTTAGTGATCAAATTTAGGAGTCGAACCAGCAAAAGTTATGATTATTTTGTTGGTGTAAATGAAGAGTACCGCAGATACATGCTTTGGTGGTTGTTAATAAGTATTCTAAGTGGGGAAAAACAATACACTGTATGTAAAACCAGAACCATTAATCTGTGCTTCAGGACACACCAGGCCATAATAAGGAACAATTAGGTATTCGAGGCCATAATCTCTAGGACAACTGTGTTGTTATCTTGTAACTAAGCCTTAACTTCAATATATATCATTAACCTGTAACATTACTCAGTGTTGACCTGCTCCCATTAACAGCTTAGAATATTTTTGGTGAAGCTGTTCATAAAGTTTATTCGTAATTTAGCATTCACTGTCATTTGCCTTACATATCTGCAGTCTGTCATACTAAAAGCTTATAGCCCACCTTCACAATTACTCCCAGTCAACCAGGGACGGCACTGACAGTGGTACTTTGAAACATTTTGAAGGTCGTTTACACATGTCCCATCATTGTAACATGGACTGCTGTCACAAGGATAAACGCGCTCTAAACGAAAAAAAAAAAGAGAGTTTTGAGCATGTTTCTGCCAAATTAATTTTCTTTCTTTTCCACCAATGAGGGGAGCTGATTAGTCTTATTTTTTACTTCGGGGTGACGTTTGACGTTTGACGGTAGCTGACTATCTCCTAACCCTTTGGGTGATTCTTCGTAGACTCAGAAAAATAAATAAAGAACCCAGAGACTGCCACGATCCTACAATCCCATGAAGCGATTCCTCAAAACTCTGATGATATCTCATATGACTCAAAAAAATTGTAACCGAACGTGTTTGCGTTAAAGACGTTTGCCTGGAACCTAGCATTTTTTTTTGTTTTCTTCCCGTAAAATAAATACTTTGCTCAGAACATAGCAATCTTGCGTATTCTGACTACCTTGACAAGTGTATCCAAGAGGTGAATTTATTTCAGGAGTACAAATTTCTTCTTTTGCGCAGGGGCTACTGTCACACGGGTTGAGCTTCACTATAAGACGATAAAATAAAACAAATTCTTACTATTATAACCCACATATTAAGACACGCACTAATGTTCAATACCTCTACAAATTAGCACTCGATACAGCTAGCTAAAAAGTAAAGTACTGAGAATGAGAAATAACTGCATAACGTCAAGAGAGGCTGAAGGGGAGGAGAGTCAATCCCCAATAGGGGCAAGGCAATCACAAGGTAAGCTTCCTCTAGATATTTTTAGATGTTGTATTTAGTCCCCACAGCGGATATTGTACAAAGCGCGTAACGTAGATGATAACGTGGAAGATGAAAATGCGTATTCAGCCGGTTGAGCTGTCCTCGTGAGTATCACACAGATTGACTATTTCTCGACCTTCCTTAGATTTAATTTCTAAAGGCGTGAGTGATCTCAAAATAACTTGACAGAGATAACCGTAGGAATAAGATCATAAAGCTTAAAGCCCCGGCCAAACGATCGCAACAGTTTGTCGCAACATATTGCAACAACCAATATGTCGCAACATGTCGCAACAGGGTGGCCAAACGCGGACAACATGTTGCGCCCAACAATGTTGCGATAAGTACATGTTGCGTTGAAATGTTGCGATCGTATGGCCGGGGCTTAATGTTTGTTGGATATCAACTCTCTAATCCTTCATTCTGTCTTGGTAACATATAACTTCAAACGCGGATTCGATGCTGTTTGGATGTTACTATGCAAGGGATTTATAGAAATTCGTTCGCAAACTTAGAAAAGCGAGTAGAATTGTCTCATTCTTAAGCTTTAGCTAGATGGTTTCCACTTAAATATTTTACCTTCGCAAAAGGAACCAGTAAAACCGGTTAGGCATAAACATGGGCTATCCACCGAGTTACCATTACAAGTTCCACCATTCTGGCAAGGATCTGGACTACAGATCATACCTGTAATAAAATCACGCAGCTGAAACTAAGACGAAAGCATTACGTCATAAAAAATATCGCCGTTCAACAACAATATCGTTCATTAAAACTAAAATTTTAATTTATAGCTGAGTAAATTGGGTAAAGCAAAGACGACGACGCGCCGAAGACGACGCCTAGTAAAAAATGAACTTATATTTTACCAGCGAATTAAATTCGCGATTGTCTAGATCTGTATTGGTTTTATAGAGTACTTGATATCCATACCTTCAATATTCGCGTTAACATGGCATGGTATGTTTACGCTGCACAATATTTCAGTGACTGGTTTATTGCGGACGTAAGCACATGCCAATTCCGATACAGTTGATGTTATACCGTTCTCAGCAGTTTGTTGACAGACCACTTGACGTGTCATGATGCCGGCACCACACGAGGTCGAACACTTGCGAGGAGAGGAGAAGGTATATATTAACTCCATCAACATCTGTCACATGAACTTTTGATTACTTAATTACCATGTTAGTAATCATTAAGGCACAGGTGATACTTGAAATGACAGAGGAGGCCAACATTCTGATTAATAGTATAACCAAGAGAAATATTCTTTCGAGCCAATATTTATACCTATAAAAGCGTAAGCATTTGGCTTCACTTAGATGACTTTAGTTTTGTTTGAAATTGCTTCTTACTTTGTGCAGGAGTTGTTGTAAAGTGCTTCGATGTTGATGGAAAATTAACCTCACAGGACCCCCATGGGTCAGATTTCCACAACTCGGGTGGAAAACAAGCTGAAACTTTGGCATTTCACATAAAGTCTGCATGAGGACTTTGTGCGTGGATTTTTAGAAAACTCGGCCAGCCGTCATTTTCAAGTCTTCTCCGGTCTCTCTAGGAGAAGCTCTTAACAAACTAATTGGAATAGGATGAAAGACTTTATGTTGGTCGATGTATCATCTAAACTGATATGATCAAATTTATGAAAAGCATTCAATTCAACATAACCAATGCGAATAACTCGACAGTGGTGATCCTAGTAGTATGCAGGACGCCTGTCACATCTGAACTCAGTCAGCATTGCTCTCCATGAGTTCTCGTAGCTCAGAGGATAGAGCGCCCGCCCGGTGCTCGGGAGGTCATGGGTTCGATTCCTTTCGGTTGATCAATTCACCTTTCATATTACCAAAACTACCTTGCTGTGATAGTCTTCCAGCGACCCGCGCAGCCGGGTTACCAATGTTTAAAGTGATATTTTTTTCATTAGCGACCTAGCTTTAATAAAGAAAATTGATTTACCCAGTTTTGGGCTTCTGTGCCCTTACCATGGACCAGCTCGAGTTAACAATCCACTCAGCAGGACAAAGTATTTCATTACAGACTTCGCTAACTGAAGCAAGACTCGGCTTAGTTTCTGCTGAACACTGAGACTCTGGTACGTCTATGGTCTCCGTAGAGGAAACTTCTTGTCTGCAAATGACATTTCGTGTCCGACTTCCACGGCCGCAAGTCTTAGAACAAGGCGACCAGTTTGTAACGTACCACCTGGAACTGAAGAGTTCATTTTTGATGAAATTTCTCAGATATCTTTCAACCCACATGCTAAAGGATATCAATATTTAGGGCCCGTTAGACCTATACGTAATGGTACTCTAATGACTATTCTGGTACAAGTTACTTCTACATGTCATTTGCCCGGGCTCATTCAAAATAGTTGAGTTAGGTGAGAATTAAAACCCACAAAGACCTCAAGACCACGCTTGATGCATCCATCTCCCAAAAAATTACATGTAAAGCATAGCTTCCCGCGTATCATATCGCGATAGAACATGTTTCTTTACTTTAAACAATGAGATCGCGCTAAATATCTGGCCCAGTAGGTCTGCGGTTATCTCTGTTTCTTCTTCTACTTTTTCTAAAATTGTCGTTTATTTGCTGGAAAGTTTATGAACTAAAGTCAGTTAAAGGAATTCTTATTACGTACATGGGTGCACAGACTTGCATGTGGCATTCCCGAGAGCTTGGTGGTTTGGTTAATAAGTCGCAGGCTTCATCAGATACGACAGTTCTGTCGCTTGTTAAAACACAACGGACGTCTCGCTCTTGAACACCTGAAGAAACAAAACAAGGGGGATCGATCAAATAGGACAAATGTCACATTCTCTTCTGAATGAAATGATTTGACACGAGACTAGTTTGATATGCTCTGCTCCCAAACAACCATATCATGGAGTGTAGATACGAGAAAACACGACCAGAATTGAAATAAAGCTAAATAAGTTCTTTTTTACGAAAATCGGAAATTCGCGACTTTGGAAACCTTCATTGGTGATGACTAATGAAATACTCCTTTCCTTTTAAAGTAACGAGATGAATTGTTAGTAAATTTAAGAAACAAATCCCTATTATAGTAGTATACCTATATTAAATCTAACCTATCGCTGAGTGGTATGATTGGTAGTGATGTTACACAGGTATTACTGCAAAATGGTAAGTTATTCTTGTACTAATGTCACAACCATTTTTACCAGATTAGAATGAGGAATAACGACAAAGTTATTTAAAATTCTTGAGTTCGAGGAGGATTAAATGCCAGAAAAGATTTAAGACCGCACTTGATACATCAATCTCGCAAACAATATAATAAAGAAAAACTTTGTTCGTAGCATATTGCGATGGAACATATTTTTTCAATCAATAGGATCGCCAGCACTACTTGTAAATATCTGTTTTGTGTAGGATAGGAAACGACCGCGTTCAGACCCACTAACTCATCCACGACAAAAGACAGTTACGTTTCTTAAGATTTTGCAGCTTTAAGCCATAACACTGATTAACTAGTAAAGAATTAGTACAAAAAAGTTAACTAATTAACAAATTTGAAAAAATGTGCCATTCTTGCGTAGCCCTTACTCTTAAAACACAAGTCCGCCTATCGACTTCACATGGACTCTGCGTCCAACCCTCCAAAACCACTGGCACCAGCACCTTTTTACTTTAATCCGACACCATAAAGATATTAAACTGTATTAAGTCTGGTGTAGATAACTTTTACCTCCTGCACAATCTTTGGAACAGTCAGACCAATCCGTCATATTCATCCATTTGTAGGAAAGATTCAAAGATTCACCAGGTAGGAGGGGCCTTTTTATCGCATAGTCTACACCTTGAGTCTCTTCATATACCCGTAGAAACTAATTAAGAACAAACAGATATATTAATTTTAAATCACGGTTGTGGCACCTACACAAATTTACGATGCACTCTACGATATTTGATTTCACCATGCATAAGTCATTGAGAATTTGACCGAGTGGGTGAGTGGGATAGTGACAAAAGTGTTATAAATTAAATTTCAGCTATAGTAAGTGACGTAGTTAGGAGAAAGGGTAGCTGAGTAGTTTAATAAACTGAACTTAAAATGCCTTGGTCCTAGTAGTCCAGATTTCACTTTCCCGGCGATAAACTAACCGACTGGGTAGCATCCCTGATTTGCAATTTTTAACGAATTTAATTAAAAAAACATCAGTATCCTACCACGACTCTGAGTGCTTCATTGGTTGGTCCACGTATCTCAAGTACATCTTTATATTTCGTGCTCTGGTGCTTGTAGATAATCTTAGCTCCAGCGTATGTAATAGTTTTAGAATAGACATAAGGGACATTGATGAGGTATTTTCCATACACATCCTGAATACCTACATAACAACGAAATGCATTGTTAAAAATTCCAGAAGGTAAGCTTTGTAAAAGAAAGATTCCCAGAGATAGATACCATACCCAAGGAATATTTAACAAGACAGTTTGCATTTGTTTTGAACACAACTGATAATTTTGTAAAGCACATATTTTATGAATATTTTAGGTCACATTTTTCTTGAGAATTTACTGTTAGTTATTTAGAGTAAATCTACTAGCGTTCCATCACGAATGTCGTTCTCTGATTGGTTACGCTAGTCACTATCTATTCTGCTGTAGATAGTGAGTAGCCCAGCAGCGTGCCCTCGTCAGTGACAAACTGACGGCCCCTTTTTTTCTGTGAAGAAGATTTAAGTTTTGGGCGAGTAATAGATTTATCCTAAAACAATTAGATTATTCGCTCTCGATTTCTGTGCGTAATAGTTGACTCGGGCCCTCGTCATCTATCGCGTGATAGAAATCCCGAACTCAGAATCTAATTGTTGAATAAAAGGTTACTTTGAGTAATAACATGCAAGTGTCAGTTTTGCTTAATAAGTATTTTTCAATTAGTTTTGGTGATATTTTTAATATATATTTTTTAATTTGTGTATTTATTTTTTAATAATTTAATGTTATTTTGGATCGGGACCTTTCTGTAGATCACCTACGGGTGAGAAAGCTTCCCGTTAAAATATCATTATTATACAATTTGTCCCATCTGTCGTCTTAGCTTGCGGTTTAACTTTCCCATCACCCTCTAGCATTACTGACCTATTACGTTGTATGTTTTCCTAGCTCTTTTTTCGAAATAGGCGTAAGATGTTCCAGGAGGCAGTTCTGTTATCAAAGCTGACTCGCGGGTATCTGCAAAGAAATTAATTTAACTTCCATGTTAGGGGTCGTGGACACGTTAACCTGTTCCCCATTGAATGCCTACTAGCCCTCCTTACTTTTAACGTCCACTTGTCACAGCCCCACGAGTCACAGCATTCCAGTCGTACAACGTACGTTACTAACGAAACTTGTTGTCTTTCAAATGTGTTGTTTTTCAAATCAAAAGAAACATTTTTTATTAATCAAATAAATCTTTCTCCTTCTTGATTTCTCGAGACATCTGCGTGTCTTCTTATAACGTTTTAGATTTTAGAGGAGAGAACCAGAATTGTCAGTACAAGGCCCCCCGATGTTTGTAAAGTCTATTCAACCGGCTTTGTCGCGACCGCACATGCAATTTCCTCAGTTTTTGTTGCGTCCCGTAATCAAGATGCTATTGGTCAAACGTGCCCCGCGCTGACGTCCAAGCATTGACTACGTTACCCCCTAACCCCTCCCTAAACGTCCAGTTGAAGTTAAGCGGCGAACAAGTGAATATGTCGACGGTCCCTAAATAGTACGTGCATCTTGGAATATTAACAGAGATATAGACTAGCCAAAAGCCTAAAAGGAGTTTGTTAAAAGGTATTGTATGGAAAAAGAGGTATAAAGGGTGTGCATGTGTTTAATCATAAGAAAACAATCAATTCTTTGCTGAATGAGCTACCGTTGACTTACTCGCGATCTTTCCTGTAAAGCTGCTGATCTCGTAAGTACAAGAGTCGGCCTTTCCGTCGCATACACCACAACGATCCGCTATTTTTCTCGAATGCAACAAATGATCGCAGCCCACAACCTAGGGAATGGTATTAAATACATTTGATTAACAACAGTACAAGTTAAATGTACGTAAATTAAATGTATCAAACTTGGAGACAGTGTTTGACCACATTTCGCATTTACTCTAGAAGAGAGTTTAAAATATAACACGCAACGGAGTATTTTTGACGAACTTGAATGTTTGATATATCTTCTCAATTGAAACTAAAACTACGGAGAAAACGGTGAGATATAATCGTAAAATCATATATTCAACCACAGTCATGGTCATGTTTTTCTTTGTTTAAACTTGATAAATTATCAATGAGTTTGAGAAGTTCATCTCAACAGCAAATGATAGACGTATATCTTTGATATCTTTATATTGATAGACGTATATCTTTGTGTCTTTTCTCGTCAAGAGAGGTTTTGAAAAAATATGGGCTCACTCAGAACATTGCAGAGATCCTTTTCTTCAACTTGTGATGTGATTCCAAAGTAGCCTCACCTCAGGTTTCCCTTTTATGCAAACATCTAGGTCCTCCATCGTCTTCGTTACTCGAGTTCCATCTTTAACACGTCCTTTCTCATGCAGTAAATTTCCAACCCGGCAGTATAGTCCACAGGGATCTGCTTAGCATGATAAAATGAAGTTTAAGAAATTAAGAATGAAATAAACCTGAGAAAATAAAACCGAAACATTGCTAAGTGGCCTGATAGCATCAGTAGAATTTGCTACAGATAGAAAACTTATATTTATGTTAATATTAATGTTTTGACATGTGAGGACGTTCGCTGTTTGCTCCCACCACACAAACTGCAATTTTCTGTGAGTGTAAGCGTGCAGTATTCTTTTGGATCTGTCCTTCAAGGGCATTGTTGGTAAACAATCTTCACTCAAATATATAATATAGACACTCTTAAATTAAGCTTCAGCTGCATGAATAACGTCAAATCAATTATATTTGTTCACAACAAGGCTGTAATCATCAAATCTGCAAATCCTGACAAAGATAAGAAAAATATTGTAGCTGACGTACGGAAACCAGACATGTGCTCCATGGCTATCTTTAAAACGGGGAACGGGGAATCGGGGAATCGGGGAATGGGAATGGGGAACGAGGAACGGGGAACGGGGAATCTTTAAAATGGGGAATCTTTAAAAGCGGGAATCTTTAAAATGNCCGATTCCCCGATTCCCCGTTCCCCGTTTTAAAGATAGCCTGTGCTCCATGGATGGCAACTGCAACGTGGAAAGTACGATACCAGGCTGAAGTCATTACACAAACAACTATTTCGACATATTTCGGACTTTGTGATTAAACTACGAAACAGAAATAAAATATACTCATTTTGAAAGGAAAGGTATAAAAACGCCACAGAGCTTAGCAAGCATATATGGAGCCTGAAAGACCAGATCGGAATATTGATAATCTGCGATGGCCGTTCTTTCATTGAGTAAAGCATCCAATGGCGTAAGGTAAAAGAAGCTAGATCTTATTCGAACGTTGCAAAGAAATGTAATTTGTGTTTGTTGGAGAAATATTTTATTTTAGACACTCCAGGAAACTTTTGCTGAAAAGTGTCATCACCTAATTAGCTATAGCATCTCATTTGACGCGTCACGTGCCACACCTGTCATGTGTTGTGATTTTTTTCAAATATCTTTCCCTGTAGCCGTTTTTGTCACGCAGTTGCCCAATGATTGCTTCAGAAGAAGCATGAAATTCTGAGTAGCAAACAAATGTCTTGGACCGACTAATCCAGCTCTTTGCTCCTGTTATTTATATATGTATACCTATATATCTTGAAGTTGAATGTAAATCTAAAGAATCTCAACGTTAGGAGACAGGACTTCTTTCGTAATCATCAGTATGATTGGGCTTTGTCAATATCATGAATTTCCTAATACCTAGTTATTAGTATTCACAGTCAAAGATCTTGCCTGATTTTTTGTAAAAGGGAACAAAACTTGCATCAAATGCCATACACTGCATTTGCCTGTACGTGGATGTCGCGTTGACGCATTGCTTTAAAAAAGAAACAAATCCATTTAATACATGGCCATGACAACTTTATTATATATAGGTCGGGACTTGGTGGGTTTAGAAACTGATGGTGGAGATTGCCGATTTATCCGAGCTCTTTTAAAATAACAGTGATCACAGTACAAGCAGAAAATGTCGCGGGGAAACTTATTTTCATAGCGTTGTTATAATATTATTATTTCTTATTTTATGGCTAGTTCCGTGAGCGGGCAAGATGAATCAAATGCTGCGCTGCGGTTGGCTACCCGCGCGGGCAAGATGGAGCTATCTTGCCCGCTCGGGACTACCCGGCGCGTCCCGCAAGAAAAATTTCCCCGAAAGCCATATAATAAATCCTTTATTGACCACGCTTGTTTGGTCAAGATGGCTGGGTATTTTGCTCGTTCTTTTTTTTGCGAGTTTATGGACCGAGACGGAGTCGAGGAACTTGGCCAATATCTAGCCATCTTGACCTCACGCTTGGTCAATAACCCATATTTATAATTATTATTATTATTATTATTATTATTATTATTATTATTAT